ACAATTAACGTTTATCTTTTAAATGTTCCACAAAACCGAACTCAATTTTCTCCTTAAGCATCCTTATTTGGTTTTAACGAGATTTTTTTAAAAAAACTTAATTTTGGCGAATACCAAGAGTTGTATAAGTTGTGTAATTTGAGTAAAATCTTTTGAATTGGTATTCTAAATCCATCAACAAATTATCATGGTCACTAAAATATTACTGTAGCCTGATTTAACAGATCTGCAATGATTTATTTGAACGTTAGCTAAGAAAAGAAAAAAAGATTTATTGAAAATTGTACATTTGCAACATTTTCATATGCACAATCTGTTATTAAATGTTTTCTTTTTGTAGGTACATTTCTGAATTGAGTGTAGTCACGATCTCATGTGCCACAGCCGCAAGAGTACAATTTATAAATTCCATGAATTTTCAGACAGTACGACACAGTTAACTTTAGTTGGTTTTCAACTCCTCTGTGGCTTTTCATTCCTAGAAATCTGTCAAATACAGTACATATTATTTTTATTTACAACTGAATGAGCTGTTAATATTCATGAAAACAATTATTTTAATTAATATAACTAATATATCTTAAAATTATTGTTTTCACTCCAGCTTCTCGATTTCACAGGCAAATCCGTGTACTGTACGGGTACAGTAATTTCTCCAAATGTTCACGTAATCGAAGGAAAGCAGAAAATCCTTCGTAAAACGAAGTCTCGCGACAGAATATGGACTTTTCCTCTACCAGGATTTGCTTATGTTCTAAACTTACATGCTCGCTAGTAAGATTTCCTTTTGAAGAGAAGTGCTTATCGCAATTACAAGTATTTTCTAATATATCCGACGCAATATTTTTTATAACGATTTCTTAGCAACGTAGCGGGAATACTTCGAAACCAATTATCGAAGATAAAGTATGGTTTTAAAGCTAAAATAGCGACAAAAAATTCCAAGCATACCGTACAGTACGAGGGAAACGCTATATGAACATCATGACACTAGCGGCATCTCGTGGTAAAAACCATAACTACAACTACGGAATCGTTCTGTAATTAGACGCCTGTTAAAAGACGGTTGCAAAATTGGGATACAAGAAATGGATTAAAACATTTGTAAGGCTCATTTGTAAGACTCTTACTACTTTTTGGACTATTTTATAAATATTTTTAGTTACGTTTTGTGGAATCTCGCGACCTGTGAAGACCAATATCATATTAAGTAGATTGTTAGAATGTTGTTGCTGGTCGGTATACAAACACGGTATAATCAGAATTTCGAAATAATTCTATTTTTATGAGTATTTACTTATATTTTCATGCAAAAAACTCAAGTATATTATTAGTTCCTACTGTTGCTTAGTGCAACAACTCAATCGAAACGTTTTAGCGAACTTATCTGTAATTTGACATAATTTTCAGTTTGGTGAGTCTCGTGAATACAGAATGCGAAGTACTCATTATCTAAAAATAGAAGTGTTTTAATATTAATATTATCTGTTGTAAAACATGAATAAATTGACAACACAGTTACCCTGAAAGGATTCTTTTGTCAACGTAGTAGAAACCATTGATTTCAGACTTAGTGAAATTTCGCCGAATCGATTCATAAAATCAAAAATCTACATGAAAGAGAAAAATTCATAAGATAAACTCTAAACATATATAAGTAGAGTAACGTACTTATTCACAACAAACACTTTTAGTTCTGTTCCAATGGCATATTGCAGATTTTCTGATATTCTGATATCTGAAAAATACAGAATTAGAGGTACAAAATGAAAACGTTTGCTTTTTTTTTCGAAAGGTTATTATAAATTAACAATTAATACTTTCCTGCCTTTACTTTTCTATATATAAGGGAAAGTATAGGAAGCGTGTCAAATTTGAACCTCTGAGTTTTTGCATACCTTCACGCAACCCAAAAAATCAAAAAACTGCGAAAAGATTACGTAAATATATATCTGAATATGTAAACGAACTTTGGTGTGATAGCTTTTATATAAAGGGCATTGATGCTATTAATTAAATTTTGGTTGTGAAAGTTCAACTCTAGTAAGAGATATAGGAAGGTCACGTGTCATATCTTGCAAGGAGTCAGTTTGAAAGATTATACTTGTTAGTATTTACAGTGTTTTATAAAACTCTTTTGTATTTTTAAATTAATGTCTTTTGCTATTTGATAATAATTAATTTAAAAGTGTAAACGCTTTTTATTACAAAAACTAATAACAGATGGCACCACATACTTTTTTACTTTTTTATTTTGATTAATAATACAAATGTTATTTTGAAAATAAATTCTCATAAAAATTGGGAAAGTTACGCAATTCGTTGCTAGATATGTTTTATTTATAAAATATTTTACTGTGAAAGCAAAAGAGTAGAGGAGAAGGTGGTATTATGGAACACTGCGGGTATTATGGAACCACCCCATTTCGAACTGATAATAAAGGCGAACTGTAGCGGAATGTGGCTGAACTGAACTAGGCAGACATCCATAGCAAGGGAAAATCCAGTTTTACTTCAGTTGAAATAAAATTAATTTTACCTCTAGAGTGAGAGAGAGAGTTTACAAAAGTTACTTCACTCAGATATACTTAAATATGCTGTCAGATGACGGTATGCGACGATCATTCTGGACAATGGAAGCTGGAACAGTTTTATATCTTCTACCTGCTTCTCCTTGGACCGGGATGGGAGACACTTGTACTCAGACCTTCCTGGGACGATCACCCTGAACTTCCCGTGACGATCGTTTTTATAAGATTGTCGTTGTCGTTGGCATTGAGCCAACTGGTCGTTCACTCGTTATGATGACTTGCCTTTTTTCCTACCTATCTTGTCGATGTTTAAGAGTTTACATCGGATCTATTTCCGAGGGAACTTGCAATCATTTTTTTCATTCTCTAATGTTAAAAAATGTTAAACACAAAAATTTACGCCCTCAAAACCCTCGGGCTCACATTATTATAAAACTAGCAGATACGCTCGGCGTTGCTCGGGCGAAAAGTAACGATAGGGAAGATTAAGATGATTGAATTACAACCAATCTTACCCATTTTCACAAAATGCAAGAATTAGGTTTCCCTGTTTCCAGAGTAATTAAAAAATTTTAAAATGGGTCTAAAAATATGTTCGATTTCGCGCAAAAACGCAAAAAAACTGCATCTGCGCCTGTAAATCTTGCACGTCGCTTTCTCTTAATACTTCCATTGTTAACACTTCCGTTGTTGAAAGACTTAATCCTGTCTTTCTTTCCTCCGGGGGGAAATTCCAAAAAATCCCTTCTTAGTATACGTTCTCGGGACGTACCGAAACTGTGTACCAAATTTCAACTTTTAACTCTTAACCGTTTGGGCTCTGCGCTGATTATTATTATTAACCCATCTCGATTATATACTGTATATAGATTCTTGTTGTTTTAACCAAGATATTACTTCGAAAAAGTACTGCTTAATCCGGCGATAAACCGTTTCCCACGGACTTAATTTTTTGTTGGAAGTGACACATCACATGAGCCACATTGACTCAACGGGTGAAACTCGTTTATTGAATCCTAAATACTAAAACTCTGAGTGAAATAACGGGAAAAACCCAAGAGAGACTCCGTATAAAAAAGAGGGGACGATGACCCTCGAGGCTTTTCTGTCATCGGCCGTGAACCTTCTTATGTGTGTTTGTGTGCGTTTCACCACCGCCGTTTCTTACCCTAAATGTGGATTAACACCTGAACCCCACCTGGAGTAACATCAGAACTTGACCTGGATCTACATCTCAACCATCTGAATTTAACCTGAACTAACTCCTGCAATCTATTCGCATCGAAGACCTTTATCGAAGATCTACTCGGACTACAGGTATTTTTCGTCGCGCGGATATTTTGTAAACTCTGTCTCTCGACTTCTACGATTTCTTTGAACTCGTTATTAAGAAGTAACCTCTTAAGTAGTTTTTCTGAATAAATGCAATTGAAAAGTAAATAACCCTGTGGTGAGCACTTCCTTTGGAATCTTCCTTCTGTCCCCATTTCGAATCTAAGCTACGGACACGACCGCTCACGCGAGAACGGAACGGTTTCTGTGTCTGTCCGCAAAGACACAGTGGTGTCAGTCCTGACGAAATGTCATTGCGGTCTTCACCGACGCGATGTCGACCCTTCGATACTGTGGTGCCGAAGCATAGGGGGGGTCCTTCGGCATTATCACATTACTATTTAACATTTTCTCTTATTTTTCCTCCTCTTTATTATAATAATAGACCTTGCGTGCGTTCCTTGTTGTCTTTTCATAATATCATATATATCATATTAGACAACTCAACTTTATTGACTGTACTAGCGCTAAACATGTTCTATCGGGAATTCTCCGAAAAGTACGTATTTCGTAAGCGAAGAATATTTAATTAATTAATACTATGCACGCTCGGGTAAATTCCCGAATTTCGAACACCATATTAATTAGTTTTTGACTCGCAATATTGTCTGTGAGTTTTCGCTTTCAAATCTGTGAAATCCGCGATTTTTACGCCGATGTCGGAAAAATCTTTGTAAACAACTCCGATGAAAAAAAAACACTCTTAGTGAGAAGTATATCGGAGGTCACCGATTGTTTTCACATTAAGGTGGGAAAAATAATAAATGTAATAATTTACGTATAATTTTGTTTTTTCAATAAAAGTGTAGGGCTTTTATATGCGTTTTTGGAGAATTTAACAGAAATTTGAAAAAAAAGTTTTGCACGTAATAAGCAATCTTGAATATTAAATAGCCGATCTTTCTCAGAAGTTTATTATTTATATTTACAACCTAGAAATTATTGAATAGACCATTATTTTAAGAATTAAATCTGTCGCTTCGGGATAACTTTCAAGGTTGATTTGTTCTAATTTTTATTTTAATTAAACTTCGTTTTGAAATGACTATCGTTTCTATTCATACCGATAAATATGAAAAAGAAGCTGTCTAGTTGATAGAGGCAATTAGGTTTTTGAAACCGTTGCAAAGTAGGAGTTGGTAGTCTTAAATGAAAAAAAAAATAAAAAATAAAAATTATCCAGACTCAAGTCTGACTTTGTATACTGTAGAAGTTGCTGTTATATTGATTTGACGTGTATCCATGACATAGATGTTGCTAATTAGAAATTGGTTAATAAAACTACTAGTGAGCACGAACTGATTAAGTTTGAGTATAGGGTGATAGTGTATCTGATTCCTTTACCCTTATGATTCCTGTACCTTTATGGTGTACGTACATTTTCGATTTTAATTAATAAAAATTAAAAATCTCTGGGGATATATAGAACCAGTCATATATATCTGCTATAGTCTGCTATAATCATATATAGTCTGCTATAGTCATAGAACCAGTTAAAAACTGGTCCTATGACTATAGCAGCATGTCTATAGTAATTCTACAAAATATATGTGGGCCTATATAGACTTAATTTCATAGGTGGTATTGTAATGCTCGTATAGAAAATCAGGTGGTTTTAATTTATAATGGAGTAGTGTTCGACGGCACAAGTAGCATTGCCAGGACAGATATGTCATATAAAATTAATGGCATGTGTCAAGATCAGTTAAACAGGTATACTATTGGGAAGACAACCAATGGGTTCTTCCCCCCGACATGACAAAAAGCTTGAAGGCAAAATAAGTACAACTTAATTACTACACTTCCCAAATATTGGATGGCATGATGATTTTAAAACGTTCCACCTGGTCAATACTGATCTATGTGAGTGTTGCGAGGTCGGTACTCTCCTACACTATATGTTAGATTGTATAATTTTTAACAATAATATATTCTAAATATAGATTTTTTTCAAGGTGTTGCATGTAGTGAGGTCTGCACATACATAGTACGCACATAGAAGGTGCATATAAGGTTTTGAATAATATGTTAAGACATGTGATGTTTTTATGCGTTTGTATTTAATTTGCTTATTTATATATAAAGATTTAAAAGTTGAACGGTACATAAATATATACAGTTTATTGGTTTCATAATATATTAATGTCTTGTATATAATATAGCGTAACGTCTCAGTTTTTAATTTAGTTAACTTAGTTATAAGTTTTATGGCATTCGACAACATCTTATTGTATAGTATTTTAAAGCTTATTTATATACAGGTATAGTTATATACAGTTAGGCTATACATAGGTATATTTTATGGTTTTAAGATGTAGCTCTGGGCACACTGGATTTTATTATATGTAAGTTTATATATGCACGGTTTTAACCTCAGTATAAGAGTTATGTATATACACTAAGTTTTAATAATATATATGACTTAATTGTATATAAGTTAGCATAAGCGTTTTTACAGGTTTTTATAGGTGTTTGTGGTTTTTCCTCCTGCTCGAAGAAGGCACTTGCTTTTGCTGAAGTTGTAGCCATAAATGTCCTGCTGCAGTTTTAATCTAATATATGGAGTGCATAGCACTATAATCTACTGGTGTGACCTTCACGGGTATAATGCATAAAGTCTTGTAGAGAGTGGTGTTGCACTGAAGTGGCTCGGACTTGCAAGTACGGTATCGCATGTATAGCAAGAGTGGGTAGTGGGACCACCTGGGATAGGCTGTATGTGGTATATTTAAAACATTTCCTTCTTTCACAGAAAATAAAACAGCTTCATTTGTTGCTGAAATTAAGATGTTTTATTTTCTGTGTTTATTTGCTGAGCACTTGTAATGTTATTTTCATCTTTATTATGTAATTTAATATTTTGTTATCCCCATTGTTTGCAGTAAATATAAAAGCGCGTAGTGAACCCAGCTCTTCGTAACTAC